TAGAAGGCGCAGATGCGGATAGAAGGCGCAGATGCGGATAGAAGGCGCAGATGCGGATAGAAGGCGCAGATGCGGATAGAAGGCGCAGATGCGGATAGAAGGCGCAGATGCGGATAGAAGGCGCATAGTTGCAAGCGCGACGGATGAGAGCGCAGCAGCAGCACGAGAGCGAGCTGTGCAGCAGGGCGTGAATCGACGGACGGCAGGCGGGATGGTGGGGGATGTGGGAGGGATGTGGAAGGGTGGGAAGCAGAAGGGCGGAAAAAGGCTGATGCGGGCGGAGAAGGGCAGAGAAGGGTGGGGGTGGGCGAGGTTGGGCGGGGGTGGGAGACTTACAGTGCGGTGAGCGTGCGGGGCGCAAAGAGCTCTTCGGCGGGCGGCAGTGGGCCCCACAGCTCGTTGTTATACAGCACACTGCGCAAGGGCGGAGAAGGGAAGAGGAGAGGAAACAGAAGAGAGGAAGGGGATGAAGAGATGAATTGGGAAGAAGGTTCGTGGCTGTGGCACAGCGAGGCACCAAGCGTAGCAGCAGGAGGAGACGAGCAGCAGCAGGTGAATGAGAGGAAAAACGGGGTGGAGACTCGAGCAGGAAGGACTGGTGGTGAGGGGACGCGAGGGTGGGGGATGTTGGTGCGGCGTGTGAAGAGCGGACTCACATGTCGGAGATGTTTTTGGACTCACATGTCGGAGATGTTTTTAAGCTTGAGCAGGAAGGAGGGGAAGCGGCTCTGAATGCGCGCGGCGGGCGCCACGAAGTGCTGCAGCGACGTCATGCCCGCCCACGAGTCGGGGAACGAGCCGTTCAGATTCAGCTTCTGCAGGTTGCTGCAGCACCGAGAAGGGGGAGGGAGGGGGGGAAGGGAGGAGAGGGGGGAGGACGGGGAGAAGCGGGGGAAGAGGGAACCGGGAGAGAGTTAGGATGGTGAGCAGCGGGAAATAATGGACATGGGCAAACGACGAGTCTTTGGTCGAAACGGACTGTACCAGGCAGGCGGAGAGGAGGGGGATTTGGAAATGCGGCGTGAGAGGGCAAAGGCGACGGTCAAAGCAGCACATAGGAAGAGATTGATAAGCAGGCGTGGTAAGATTGATAAGTTGATAGGCACTCACAGCAGCTCTAGCTTCTGGAGTTTGCCCCAACTCTCCGGCAGTGCGCCTTGAAACGAGTTCCCGCCAATGTCCCTGTATGAGCCACCGGCAAAACGCTTAGCTAAGTAACGAGACACGTAGCTGTATGAAGCGCAGGTAACGTAAGTACGCATGCACGACACTTTCCCAGTTAAAGACCACAGGAGAGATAGAGCGGATTGAGGTGAAATTGCTAAAAAACGACCTGGAAATTGACGAGAGGGCGAAAGGTCGAGTCGCGAGTGCGTACAGTTTCTTAAGTTGAGTCAAGTTGCCGAGTTCGGGAAACAGCACGTCAGCCATCTGGTTTTGCGAGAGGGCGAGCCACGTCAGATTGGCCAGCGTGGCGATGCCACGTGGGATAGACCCCGTGATGCGGTTCAGACTCACGTCGCTGCGAGGGGGAGCAGGAAGCGGGGAGAGGCGAAGGGGTAGGGGAAAGCGGGGAAACGATGAAGGCAGGGATACGGCGGGGATTGCGCATGGTAGGTCGTCAGAGACCACACGATCCATCAAAATCGACGTTGGCGGTGGAATTGATGGTGACAGTGCCCGGGAAGACAAGAAGATATAAAAAAATGTTTGAAAATGTTGAGGAATAGACGCGAAGGCGGCGGCGGGAGCGGAGCGCGGTGGCGAGCGTACATTTTCTGCAGATCCTTGAGCGCCGAGACCTCCTCGGGCATGGGACCCACGAACCGGTTGCCCTCGAACATGCTGCTCCACCGCACCGCACCGCACCACATCGCATGCACAACCACACGGAGGGAAAGGCAGACGGGCAGGGTTAGACGAGTGACGGATAAGCAAACATATTGAGACTCGATGAACGGGGAGTCCGACCGGGAAGGCACTGAAAATCAAACGTCAGGAATCGAATGTGGAGGGCGAGGAGTTGGCACGAACGACTCGAGCGCAACACACGGACGGGATGCAATGGCGACGCGGCTCACATTTCCTTGAGCTTGGAGAACTTGGAAATAATCGGCGGCAGCACAGGGCCGTAGACGTCGTTGCCCTGGATATTAATCAACACGAGATTCTCGAGCGCCGTCATCTTGGCCCACGGGATCTGCCCCTTAAGCGCGCCGGGCGACATCCCCTTGCCGTACGACGGGTCCTTGTCCACCATCATGGGGTTGCCTATGTCGCTGCGCGCGCGCGGAGGGGGGAGACATGGTGCGCCGGGAGGGGAGAAGTTGAGTCAGAGTGAAATGATTTGCCAAAACAGCTTATGCGTATCGTTGTAGAATGAACAAGGGAGAGGGAGGAAAGGGGGGAAATGGATGGCCGGGAAGAAGATGAATTTCAGAGCGAAGGGAGGGGGGCGAAAGTGCGGGGTGCGAGCGGGGAGGACGGCTTACATGGCGTTAACGCGGCCCTCGGCGTCGCAGGTGATCCATTTCCAGAACTGCACGCACGGCTTGGACGTGTTGTACTGCATGCCCAGCGACACGTTCGCCCACGACCCCCACTTGAAGAACACCGGGTGGTTGTCGAACGCTTTCGCGAATGCCAGCAGTGCCGCCTCTGCGCAAGCCACGGTCACGGATGTCGGTTAGACGCAAAGGTAACGAGCGTTAGTTATGCAGGAAGGTAATGGCGCTGGCAGTGGGCGTTCAGACATGTGAAAGTGACCCATGCGGCAGTGGAGGAAACAAGCGGCAGAGAGGGAATTATATTGGTGGCGTGAAACGGCAATGCGAGAGGCAATGTTCGTACTTTCGGCCATGGCGACGGAATCGGGAGTGGAGAATCCTGGAATCGGGATGATTTCATTTGCGGGATCCCCTGGTGGTGGGGTGGGCGGTGGTTGCGATTGTGCGGAGACCGCCGTTAGTGATATTACGACTACTAGAACTGCTAATAGTGACGGCCAACACTGTCGAAAACCCATGCTGGGCCAATAAAGGAACGCGTGACGGCTGCCAGTAAGTCGGACGCAGAGTTTACTAAAAAATATAGCTCAGTGACGGCTGCCGGTCCACTAAAACTCCCAATGCGTACTTCACGCCCGTCTTAGCTCAGTAAGCAAGGAGGATAGCCCTCGAGCGTAATATTTACAAGGACGAACGAGCAGAAGTGAGTTTGATGATAACTGGTGGGGCTTGAGTGTACGTAGGTGGGTGGGTGAGCAAAATCAATCTCAGCTGAGGGCCATGGGGAGGGTTTTGTGCACCATCCCTCATGCTGGAAAGGGGGAAGGCGGAAGCTTTACAGACAGGGAGAGGGGTGAGCGGGGATGGGGGTAGGAAGAAAGGGGATGGAAACGCGTATTCCCCCTCTCCTCCCCTTTTCTCCCCCACGACTCAGGCCACACCAAACCAAGCTACACGTAACCGCCAACGGCAGCTGTCTTTCCGCCCGTAACCTCCAGGTTCCGCGCGGACTGGCAGTGTGTGGTTTTGGTAGGTGTGGGTAAGAAGGGCGCATTGAGTATCCGCGTGCTCTCTGATCCGAAACACCACGCCAGTGTGAGTGGGAAACCGCTTTCTGTCCACCGAAACCAGACACGAGTGCTGCACTTTTATCTAAATTTGGTTCAGTCTCGTGTTTCAGACTAAACGTGAACAGCCGTGAGGGCACCCAACGAAACATTTAGTTTAGTTACGTATAACCACCTGAGAGACCACCCAGTTCTCTGTTTTCTTGTGGATGCCCCCTTCCATTCCAGCACAATCAGCACCTCGGCTTTTAGATATTACACATGATGCCCAACCCGTGCACTCGAATTTGCCTTGCACCGGATGGAAACGCTGCACCCGAGGTTTTGCCCCCGGGAGGTTGCTCCCACGGTACAGGCACATGGATGGCATAGCACAGTGGACGCGCTTGGACCAAAACTGAACGTGCATCACAGACCAAACCAGGTTGGCCCAGGTTTGCCTTGTTTCTAGGCTAGAGTGGCCACTAATGCCAAGTGTGGCCAACCCACACTGTTACGGAAAAGACAAATAAGCTGGTTACCATTATTTTTTAGAAGCACTTTACAAGTGTAACGAAACCTACGAACACTGGCGAAATGCATGTGTAGCTTATGAGCCCCCTTAACAAGGCAACCGGGGAGTGGCTCAAACGGACATCATGTGTACAAAGGTTTTGTACAGTAGTACAGTTTCTTCCGCACGGCTGAAATGTTCCCCCCCAGCCCGGTTTGAAGTGCAATCCAGGGGGTTACATTGCCAACTGGCACATGCCTACAGAGCTGCTCCCTACAGTGCTGCCTGAGGTTCCCTTCCGGTCCCCTGCTCTCCGAGTCCCGCACTGGAAAAAGACCCTGTCTGCTGAGGTAGGTGAGAGGGACAAACAATTGCGGCCCCGCCGAAACAATCGCCGTTTCTTGTTCGGAGGAGCTCACCTGCCTGACGTGAGCACAACCAGTGCATTTCTCCTCTCGCCACCATTGCCACCATCCCAGGCTTTTTCCCAGGCTCCCTAGTAAGAAATCAGTACCGAGGTTCTTCTGACATGATGCGCTGCGCTGAAAACACGCCCGTGCAACCGTACACATTGTCGTTTGTGCCGGTATCCACCTGAAGCAAGTGGTCAATCTCGACAATGTCATATCACTGTAAACGCCATTCACGTGCCCTCTCGTCTAATCAAAGCACGACATCCGAGGCGCGGGGACAAGAACATCAGAAACGACAGCACCACTTGGCACGTGTCACACATGTCGCTCGGGTCAGCAGCACTTGACATGCGCTTGAGGCTGGATCGTTGCTCGCAGTCGGTTATTAGTACACTTGAACTTGGAAAATCTGCTGCTTTTGGTCTCTACACTGGTAAGAGGTTCAACGCAACTCACTAAGACGTTTCAAAACTCAAGCACACAATATTACAGCATATTCAAATTTCTTTCGCAAGGCAAACTACCAAAACCAATCCATATCTCCAGACTTCTCGTCTTCAGCCCAAGCTCCCCACCGGCCCTTGGGTGTCAAAGTCGAGCCAGCATCCTCCCTTCGACCCTCCATCCCAACCGCTCTACACTCCACTGCACATCCACCCACACTGCTTGATACACCTCGGGCCTGCAGCCCAGACAACTGCTGCTTCCCCCCCTGCACACCTCCACTCACATCCCCTCCACCACCACCTCTAAAGCTGCTGCCTTCTCTGTAGCCGCCCCCATCCTCCCTGGAAGAGGATGGGGCAAGCAGGCTGCGGCGGCGTGAGGCGCCACCGCTTTCCCTGCTACTGCCGCTGGTGCCAAAACCACTCTCTTGTGACACACTCCGAGGCACTCCAGCCGACCTTGGGACCTCCAGAGAGGAAGAACGTGGCACAATGCTCTGCAATGGCGATGAGGAGAGACGGGAGGAGGGAGACGACGTGTAGCTGTCGTGGGAAGCAGAAGGCCGGAGAGACGACGGGCGCGAGGAAGACGAGAAGAACCGGGGCGAGCCAATCAGAGGCTCTCCTCCCCCTCCTCCTCCCCTCCCACCGCCACCACCAGCGCCAGTACCACCATCAGCAGCATCGGCATGAGCCAGGGCACATTCTGCAGATGCTGAGGCGAACAGAGAGGTGTGGGAGCGGCGGGGGGAGCTGACTGCCTCAAGGGCCTTCTTTGCAGCGCCAACCACTCCCCTGTGGCTCAGGGCACTTAGGAGGCGGCGCCCAGGCGTGGATGCCTCTCCTCCACTGGGCCGTGAGTCGGGGGGTACACCGCAGGGGTCGGGGGCGGTGCAGAACGGTGCCGGAATGCGGTTGAGGTCGCGCTTGGGCTCTGAGCGCTGCTTGCGGAGGCTGCGGGCATCGTCGGATGAGGAAGAGCGAGCAATGAGGGAGGGAATGCGAGAGGGCGGGCGGGAGAGGGATGGACTGGAGATGGTAGCGGGAGAAGCTGGGCTGGTCTCGCTTGGTGCTTCCGAGTCGTCGACGTTGAGAGGTGACAGCGATAGGTTCAGCTTTCCCCGAATGCTGTTGGTTCTGGTTACGGTGCTGTTGCTGTTGTCGAGACTGCTGTCAGTGCAAGAGACAGAGGGAGCATTCAAGTACTTACTCTCCTTGTCTTCTCTCACGGGCGATCCCAGCCAGAAAAAATCCTCCTCTTGCTCCTTTTCCTCCTTCCCTCTCTCCTGCTGTACCCCCACTCCGCTCCTCCCACTCTCGTCAGCAAAACGGCTAGCAGCCATCCGTCGATCCTCACTCCAGCCCTCTGGTTCGGCAGTCCCAAGCCTGCTGGACCCCTTCTGTTCTCTCTTTGAAGGGGACGAAAGCGAAAAGCCCACTCTCCCGAAGCTTACAGCCTTGCTCAGGGCCGGGCCTTTTCGTTCCTTCTCCCGTTCCTTGTCCCTCTCCCGCACCTTCCCCTCATCATTGCCCTGGCCATAACTAGAGGCAGCCAGGGCAGCAGGAGACTGCGACCGTCCCATGCTCAGGCTCATGCGCAGCGATCTGCTGCCAGGGCTATCGCTCCTACCGCTTCGCTCGCTCCTATACACTCCCTCCCTGCCCCCCCCTCCCTCACCTTCCGTTCCTTCTCCCCCGTCCCCCGCCCAAACCCCGCCCACCCACTTCCCGAACGCACGCTTCTTGCCCTCTTCCCCCCCTCTCGTCGCCCTCTCCCTCTCGCGCTCCTTCTCCCTCTCCCTCTCCCTCTCCCTCTCCCTCTCCCTCTCCCTCTCCCTCTCCCTCTCCCTCTCCCTCTCCCTCGCTGCCTGAACCGCCTGCTGCACCTGCTGCTCTTCCCGCCGCTGCAGGCGCTGCTGCTGCGCGGCCCAGCGCTGCTTCACGCGCTCCCACGACTCCTCGTCCTCGTCCTCGTCCGATATCGCGTCCGCATCCATCTCCCGCCCTCCGCGCGCCAGGTGGCACGATCTCCGCGCCGCAAGCCTCTCACGGACGTCCGAGATTTGCCGAGCGATTGTCGCGCTCTCCCCGTCCCTGCCATCCCCGATATACGCGTCTTCGTCATCGTCGTCGTCTTCTTCGAAATCGTTATCGATTTCCTCAAGAGGCGCGATCGGGGATGTCATGTCGTCGTCGTTGTCTGCTTCACTGTAAGCATCCTCGTTAAGAGCACTTTCGTCGTCGGGGTCTACTCTTAGAGCTAATGCTAATCCTTCTTCGTCTATCTCCAACCCATTCCCCTCCTCCTCTTCTTCCTCCTCGTCCTCCTCCTCTTCCACTTCCTCCTCTCCCTCCTCGCGTCGCGGCCAGTTGCTATTCTGGACGGTCCTCGAAGAATTCGGAGGTTGCACTGATTTCAACGACCCTGTGCTGCTGACACGTGGCACGGGCGGTTTGCGCGCGGAGTGGTATCTCCCGGAGCGCGCCCGGCCAGAGGCGCTCCCGACGTCGCTGTTGCCCCGCGACGGGAGAGGGGGGCGGGAGAGGGCGCGCGGGGGAGTGATCGAGCCGGGGGGCGCGCCAAACGCGCAAACCACTCCGCTCCGCTGCGCGCGGCTTACCTGGGGCCCTGCCCCCCTAATCCCGTCTTTATAGCCCTGCAGCTGCGACTCGCTCTCCCTCGACCAATCGCTGTTCGTCTCGCTTCCCGCCTGCCAATCCGAACCTGGTGATGTGATTTGCTCCTGCGGTGACGTGGAATGGGGCTCCGCTGAGGTGGAAGAGCTCTCAAGAGAGTTGTCGCACGATTCGCCATCGATGCGACTCGAATCCCCATTCCGGTCGCCAAGGCTGTCGCAATCCAAGCCTCTAATATCTCGGTATTTTCCAGGAATGTCAGTTCCAATACTCGTCGTTTCTTGTAGCGGGGGCTGGGGACGTTCCTCTATAATCACCTCCACGCGTCGCACCCGGAAACCGCTGGCGGCTCCCGCCGCCGGCGCCGATGACTGCGGCGGCGCTGGCGACAAGTCCCCGAGGAGGAATGCTGGCGACAGTCTATCGCCTGCGACGCTCTCTTCGTCGCCTGCAACGTTCAGCGAGAGAGCGACGCGCGAGCCGACAAGATCGCCGGCTCTGTCGCTTTTCAGCAGCTTGAAGTGGATTCGCACCGAAGCGCGATTGTTCTTCGTCACAGCCTCTACGGCTCTCGACCAATCAGCTTCATAGAGCCCATCCGCCAGATCGTACAAGCTTTTCCCGCCAAAATCTTCAGAGCTGGTGTAACCCAGGTCGCGCAACAACCCCCGGCTGACGTGTGCAATGCGGCCTGAGCGCGCCTCCAGCAACAGCTTCGGCTGTCCCGAACCTTCGACTTCCGACGCTACCCTTGCCGAAGCTTTAGCCTGAGGAGCTTCCCAGCCACCGCCGGCGGCTGCACCTGAGCCTGAGCGTGCTGCTTCGGAATGCAGCCCGGCAGGTTCGGCTGCAGATAGCACATTTGCGGATAACCCGGAGGCCGAAAATGCAGAGACATTCGATTTGACGTCGTTTTTGTCGGTTCCGCGCGAAAATGAGGAGGAGCGGGGATTGCCGCTTCGTGGCGAGAGGAGGCGAGAGAGGGAAAACGCTCGGTCGGAAGGTTCGAGGGAAGATTCGTCGGCGAGTCGAGCACTGGTGATGGACTTTCGCAGATCGAGGGCCATGGCGGAAAGAACAGAGGGAGATTTGACCGAGTAGTGAAAATATTTCACGGTCGATTCGCGAATGAAACTGCGGACCGCATTTGCATTCCCTTAGGAACGTTCGGTGTTCGTATATTTCGAAGGGAGGAGACGCCTACAACTTGCTATGGGAGTAAATGTCAGTATTGAGTAATACTTTGACTGCAGCTATAGCTGATAGGAGCGTGGAAGAAGCATGAAGCTAGGTGTGGAATGGTGGGTGGTGTGGATACATGCAGTGGATGAACCGAACACGAGGGGAGGTGAGTTTATGGAGTGGTGGCTGGCGGCTGGAACAACAGGATGGTGACGAAGACTCGACATTGCCCGACTGAACCGAAGCGGGCCGAGTGTTTGGAAGGGGGCCGTTATGCGGACAAGCACGACGTACGCTACGGGACGAGGATTTGGGCCTCCCAGGAATGGCGGTTGGATAGAGCCACGAGGCAGTTAGCGTGGAGAACAGTGAACAGAGAGAGATTTGTGGGAAAGGGGTCGTTGCGATGCGTCATGGCATGACAGCTGAGGCGCTTCTTACAGTGCATGCTTGGATGGAGTGGATGGCAGGGAAGGGAGAAGTGCAATATGGGGGAATCTATAGTGGCAAAGGCGGTGAATGGCAGGGAGGGTGAGTGGACAGGTCGAAAGGGATCAAGAACGCCTTAGTAAGGTTTATTTGTTTTTCCCAGGCTCGAAGTCAGGTGACCACATGGAGACGAAAATTGTATTTGGGGGGATGCTTCTATTCACATCGAGCCGCCTCGACAGGGGTTGGGCAAAGCAGAGCAGAGTGAGTGGGGGATGGGTGATTGGCGCAGCTGTTGTACAAAGCTGTAGAAGGGCAAAACGGGACGAGGGGGGGGAACCTGTTTGAGTTGGTTGGGGGGGAGTGTGGGTGGTGTGGTGGGAAGGGGAGAATAGGGTAGGGATGGGGCCTTGTGCCGCACAATTGGACTGATGTACGGTACCGTGCCACAGGAAGGCTTGGAAATTCTGGCGCGAATCAGCCCGCAAAGTTCTGACCTCCAAAGAACTTTACTTTCTCAATATTCCTTTGGCTTAGAACCTTGGGTTGTGAATGTTTCGTTGTGTGGGCAATGCTGCTTGTAGAACCTGGACTGAGGCTAATGTTGCCAGGGTGATTGCTTCTGGAAAACAAACAAGTTTCGCGGACATGTACAGTGCTCTGTACGAAGCCAAGAAACTGATGGTCGTTCCGCCAATCAGCGGGGTTGCAAAAGTGCTGTCTCATCATGAGCAGAAGAGACGGATACAAGGCCCATAGTGCATCACATTTGCCCATATCGAATTTTACGGTAAAGGTGATAATGTATGATTCCCTTTCCGTGCTCTCCATTTTAGACTAACCATAACTAGTCTGTTTTATCTTATGTTGAATGCCTAGGGTTTAATTTGGAGCATTCCACAAGAGGCTTTCAGGAATCGATGTCAGCATATTCGGATAAGCTGCTTGCTGCTTTACCTGACCAGATTTTACCTATGATCTAGCACAAAACTAAGCTTTTCACCATTCGAGAGAGGTTTTGCCACCTACATTTGAATTCTCTAACGATATGAATAAACTCATGCAGCACCGCCAATAATGAGAGCAGTCTCACCATGTTCCTACAGCACCATAACTAAAATCGGACTCACCGGTCTCTCCTTCCCACGACCCTTTTCCCACATCCCCACTTTTATCATCATCCTCTTGCTTCTTGCAGCTCTCTTCTGCTCCCTCCATTATCACATCTTCATCCGACCCAGAACCTCCCTCCTCCCTTCGGCCAGGGGTCGTGCAAACTACAACGTCAACGGCCATTTCCCCTCCCTCCATATCAACTGCTGCATCCCCTCCTCCTCCCCCATCCCTTCCTGTCAACCCTACATCCATGCCCGCATCTAAAGCATCTATAGCATCTACATATTCTACAGTAACCTCGGCACCATGCTCCATAACCCCATCTAGAATCTCCCGCCCCTCCCCAACCTGCCCACTGGCTTCCCACAGTCTCTCTGCCCCACCACCATCGGTTCTCACCTCCCCTAACCTGCCCGCCCCTGCCAAATCCACCCCACCCGGTGCTGACGCAACTGGGCCCGCCACATTAACTGACAAACTACTCCGCCCCTTGCCGCGCACTGCCAATCCCATCTCCCGCTTGATAGCACCCCAATGCCCATCGATATTCCCCGAGAAGCTTCTCGCAAGCTTCCCCACCCCTCTAGTAGCCTTCTCCACGTTCCTCACTGGCTTCTCTAGCATGCTTCCCATGCGCGGCGTGGGAGGTAGAACCCGGGAAGGCCTATCTGGGACAGGCGGCGGCACCCCTCCTGTCGACACGGAAGCTGCCACCGCTGATAGCTTATCAGCAGCAGGGCCTAACCCCGACCCCTTAGAGCTAAAAGACCTTCGCAAAAGCTGCCCGCGAGGCGACGAGGATTCCCCACTAGAACCGCCACCAGAGGACCCCCCACTGGGTGTTACTACCTTGAGCCCTGTGCCAAACTTGTGCAGCAGCTTCTTAGCACCTCGCGGACCAGACGAACCAGCCCTCTGCTGGCCTTCTGCACTTGGCGCTGAACCCGCACCCTCCTCTGCACCCCGTAACTCCATCTCCCCTGCCCCAAGCCCATCCTCCCCCTCGCCCTCCCTCCCTTCCGCCACATCCCCCCCATTCAGACCCCCCCTCCCTCCAGCACCCCCCGCTGCTGCTCCAGCGTCCTCTGCTGCAATCTTCCGCCGCTCGGCCTCCCAGTCCCGCCCAAACGCCGGCCCGCCTTCCGACAGATTCCTCCGGAAAAACATCTTCGTGGGGACTCCAATCCGGGAAGCCCGGCGCTCCTTGGCTGTGGGATCGGACTGAGGCGCGTTTTTACCACTGCGGAAGAACCCAGGCGAGGGGGGCACGTCTCTTCCCACAGGGCCATCGTGAGAAGCCATTCTTGTGTGGTGTGATGCTGGTTTGGGTTCTCTCCTCTTCCTCCACCGCTCTGCTGCTGCTGCTGACACCTGCAGAGGGCCGCTGGCTACCCTTCGGCTGAGCTCTTTAGGGTCTACTGTGCCGGCTAATCCGCTGCTGGGATGCACGGGGCTGTCGCTGGCGATTCTAGGGAGGTGCGGAAGGGAGATGCTGTTGCTGTCGTCCTGTGAGACGTGGCTCAGTTGACTTGCTTGACTTAGCTGACTGCCCTGTGGCGACCAGCCTGGTAGGGAACTACAGGAAGCATCAAAGGGGCTGCCGCTGCTGATGCTGCTCGGGTCAAGGCCCGCTTCCCCTGCCCCAGCTGCTGCTGTGCTCGTGTCCTCTGCCTCTCCTACCCCTTCCCCTTCTCTCCCCTCGCTCCCATTGACCTGCCCTGCTGCAGACCCTCTTTCTTCTCCTCCCTGCGCCCCTGCCTCCCCGTCTTCCCCCATCACCACGTCCCCCTCCTCCCCTCCCCGCGCATCTAACTCCGCCTCCTCCCCCTCCCCCCCCATCCGCGCCAGCAGCTCATTCTTATCCGCGCATTCCCCGTCACCCTCCTCCGCCTCCGCCGCCCCCTCCCCGGCTTCCCCCCCTTCCCCGCCGCCCCCTTGTCTCTCCTTACTTCTCTGCCGCGGCTCCTCGAAGATCTCAATGGTGGGCGGCTGCGTGCAGTACACAAAGGATTTCAGCGCCGCACTGCCGCCCTCCCTCAGAGGATCCTGCTGCTTCCTCTCAATGAGCACTCGCAGTAAATCCATCACCTTCACTGCGTGTCTGAGCCCCATAATAGGATCGAGGACCTGGAGGTGGGAGCATGGGAAGAATAGGATTGGATATCTGCTGTGTGCACTCTCGCTATGCAGTGAATCTTTAGGGTCTCTAAGCATCCCTCCCTGGTGGCTCACAATCAGCCCTCAGACCCACCCGCATGTGCTGACTGAATCACTTTGTGACTGACACCAGGTGATTTATGAACCAGCTGATTTAATCACCAGGTGCTTGAATCCCCATGTGAGTGAATCAGCTCATTTCAATCCACCTGCGTCATGTTAGGCGCAAGCATCATGGCGATGTTCTGCTCTCTGCTCTCTGATTTAAATGCCACGCTTGAATCAGCTCAACCCAGCGTTACCCAGATGAACCCAGCTGGACCCACCTGCGTCATGTTGGGAGCGAACACCATGGCGATGTTCCGTGCGTTCATCTTGTTGCGCTCCTCGAACTGCACCACGTCCGCCATGAGCCCCACCACCCAGTCCAGCAGCATGCTCTGCGTCTCGGGCAGCTCCGCCACGAGCGCCAGCATCTGCTCCTCCGTCTCACACGCCGCCACCACCTCCACCGGTAGCGAGTCCAGCAACCCTTGTGGTAGCTCGCGGAACCACGCCTGGGGGGGGGGGGGGGGGGGGGAGTGGGAGAGAGAGGGTTGAGGTGAGGCCAGTGGCGCCATACCTAACAGCGCTCTGCAGCCGCAAATGGACTTCGGCTCGCATCGATACAGGATGTCTATTTAGCCCTTACGGACTGGTAACAAGCCTTTCCTGAAGCACTCTCGCAGCACTCTCGCAGCCCTCTCGCAGAACTTTTTCTCGCAATACTTTCGCAGCGCTCTCACCTTGATGAGCCCCGCGAGCGCGTGCACGTTGATGCTCTGCGGCACGAGCCCCATATTGACCTGATCTCGAATCTGGTCCTCGTGGTCGTTCTCCGCCGCCACGCGGAATATGCCCTCCGTCTGCACGTGCGGTGAGGAGATGGGGTGGAAATGGGGTGGAGGAGGGAAGAGACAGGAGAAGTGGGTAAGGATGGAGAGGGGGAAATTTGAGACTAATGCTAGAATCATCGAAAGGGTGGAGTGGGAGCGGGGCTGGGGAGGCGGGAGAGAGAGGGGGGGAAAGGACGAAATGGAGGCGCTTGGAGGGAAAAGAGGCGTACCTGGAGTTTTTTTTTACGTAAACCAGCGCGTGCGGCAGCAGCAGAATGTTAATCCGTTTTTTTTTTGTTGACAGTGGGAAAAGAGGGAGAGGTTGGGGTAACAGGGGAAGACTGGGGGGAAAGGGGGAGAAGGCATACCTGGAGTCCCTTTTTGACGTATAGCAGCGCCTGCAGCTGCAGCAGAATGTTGGGCACGCTGTTGCCGAACTCGTCCTGCGAGCACTGCAGCAGCTCCGGCTGCACGCCGAACACAGACCGCCTGGGGGGAGGGGGAGGGGGACACGGGGAGGGAGGCAAGGCAAGGGGAAGAGAAGAGTGAGCGGCAGAGTGAGAGAGAGAGAGAGAGAGAGAGAGAGAGAGAGAGAGAGAGAGAGAGAGAGAGAGAGAGAGAGAGAGAGAGAGAGAGGTGGGCACTACAGCAGCTCCGGCTGCACGGCGAAGACGGACCGCCTGGGGGAGGGGTGGCGGGAGAAGGACAAGGAGAATAAAACAGGAGGGAAGAGGAGGGCGGGGGGCCGGGACAGAGAGGAATGAGGGCCCTGTAGCAGGGAGGAAATAGGGAGTGGTGATAAGGACAACAAGGTTGCGCGTTGGCGGAGTCTCCAGGGACGTATTGACGCCCTTCTCCAGCTCAAACGCGCTACCCGTCCCCCTTCCTACCGCCCGCTTCTGGCCCCACACTATAGACGCGCGAACGACGACTGCAGAATACCCTTCACGCGCGTCACAAACGGACTCCCCGCACACTCTAACGATCACTGACACGCGCTAGCACGCACTAGAGGCGACCGCAGCTTACCCCGCACTGGGCGCGCGGCACGGCAGCTCGCCCTCGATGTCTTCCGGGAGGCCCAGGAAGCCCTTAAAGCGGTCGAACGTGACGTGCGCCACGTGCTTCACGTCCGTTGGCTCGCCGATCTCCAAAGGGTGGCCGTCGTCGTCATCGTCTGATGCGTAGCCGGGGGGGAAGAAGTGGGGTTGAGATATACAACAGACAAACAAAAAGTTGGAAAAAAAAAAAAACAAAAAAACAAGGGGGTAGGAGCATGTGCTTTACATCGGTTGGCTTTACGGTCTCCACGAAAAGGGCGTCGACGTAATCGTCTGAGGGGGGAACGGCGGAGAGGAAAGGGTCGGTGGACGGCAAGTAGATGGATGGTGCTTTAAGCGGTCGAACGTGACGTGCGTCACGCCCGTCGGCTGGAGAATTTACGAGGAATAATGTCCTCATCATCGCGCGAGGCGATGAAGGTGGCCGGTAAAAAGACGACGGACGGCAGTCGGCAAGTGAACGACAAACAGACGCAAGGCAGTAAACAGACCGACAAACGCATCATCAGTAAAATGGATAAACGACAAGGGACCAGATACTTGAGGCGCCACGTCACAGAATAACGACCAAGGAGACGACATAGGGCGTTGATGGTTGGTAAGTGCGCGATGTCAACTTAGGGTTCGAACGCGTGTCAGCGCGACGGTGACAACGCATAGGCGACACTGGGAAAACTAGGCAGTTTCCCGCATCGTTCGAGATGCTGTGGAAATAGAATATCTATTATCGAACTACATCGGCGAGCGGGACAAAACGGCAAGACTGACTTACAACCAGTCAGTACTAATGGAGAATTACAGCAACGAGATGAAAAGGTCTGATCATATCTATGCATTGGTAAAAATGCTTATCATGACCCGCAATAGAAATCGGAAACTCCTATAATGCTACGAAATGTCGCACGACGGTGGCCACCGAGTCGCCAGACATGTCGCGACCTAGACGTGTTCATCTGCACGACCTAGACGCTCTGAGCTGCAGAGATGGAAAGGAACGATCTGTCGGAGCTTAGGTGGACTACATTTGAGAGAAGTGCTACCACGAGCTTGATGCTACAATTTAGTTGCCGGACGCGGTAAGATCAGTAGAATAGGGAGCTTGGAGAACGTACCGTGGGACTAGGAAAGGAAAGGTATTAAGCATAATCAAGCCGAAACGGACGGTACCTGAGGAGCCTATCTTATGCAGTGGAGCCTCCTACCACTCCTCACTGTTTCATGAAGGACGCTTTCGAAAAAAAATAACATGTTAAGCGAGGTGTTTCTAATAGCTTGGACCAGCGACACGTGGCTTTTTATCCTGGTCCAACCGTAGCACAGCAGCACGACCACCACGTACCACGATCTCTCTGCTTGCCGATACGACCGAGAGTCTTCACTACGCCCTTAAAGCCGCCGTTTATAACGTCCATCTCAGGTACTGCTGGAAACCCTAACCGTCGACCTGGAAAAAAATAAATACTCCAGAGTGGGCGAAGTTGACTACTGAGGGGAAGCCATGACTAGGTTTGGGAGGCGAAAGGGAGTCGGTGGAGGGGAAATGGAGAGAGGAGGAGACCATGGGGAATGGGGCAAAGGGAGGAAATTGAGGAAAGGGAGGAATGGAGGAAAGGGAAGAATGGAGGGAAGGGAGGAATGGAGGAAAGGGAGGAATAGGGGAAAGGGACAGCAGGAGGAGATTGAAACAGGCGGAGCCTAGCACTACCGAGGTGAAAACGTTCCAAGCGTTCGATATGGTCACAGATGTTCGCTGAAGCACGATCTTGGAGTTGCCGGAGTGATAGTAGCGAGGGGTCTGTAGATTTGTTGTGCCGCGCGGGTTGGTGTGAATTCTGGCTGTCAACACCACTTGCACTGGGGGAGGTCAACTCGCGGATGCAGGCGAGCAGGTGTACTGGATGCACAAAATTCGTTAGACGAAGCAAGCAGTGTCCATAACACTTCCTACATGATTGATGTCATTACACAAGAATAGCTAACAAGACTAGGCTAGTTCTCATCAGCTCAGCCATGTAAATGCTACAGAGATCAGGCAATCAAAAGACTACCGAACTCCATTCCTTGGTACAATAACTGGGTTATTGGCCCTACCACCTGTGATATTCCAGTTACCATCAAGGTACCGTAACAGAGTAGTCGCACTCTGCAGGAAGCTGTTAGCATTGACAACTCTGGTTTGTTTACAGGTTACGCCACGTTGAGAGGGCATCTAGGTGACAACTAGTGCCTAGTGATGCCTAGGGTGTACATTGGCATCTAGAGAGAGCATCGAAAACTAGGGAAGGGCAGAAGCCGGTTGGTCGTGTGTCTGACTTCAGTACTGATTGACAAGGCAGGCATAAATACACTGTGCTTGGCGATATTCTGGCGAAAACCAGGCAGTGCAGGCGACGGCGACCACCCCGGTGAGAAGGGCTTTCTTTCAGGTAAAGCCAGTACATTTTGGCGGTAATAATTTTGTTCGGAATTCTGTATTCAAAATTTGTCAGTTTGTCCGTTTCTCTTTAGGAGCCTCTCTTATTTGATCCACCATAGCTTGCTAGCACTGAGAGCTCAGAAGAAGGGATGCTGCAGCAGCAGTATGCGCGCCAAACGTCACTATCAAAATACACGGACCCAAAACCTCCTATTTATGGAGCTTCGTAAAGTTGAGCCCATGCATGTGTTGCTGCTCCTGGAGTAGATCTCCAGCCAGGCACCTGATGTATGTTCAAATCTGGCAATTCATGCACATATATTACAGCTTGGCATAATGCTGCATTCTGTTCAGCATAATCCATCCATGTCAGTGGTCATTTACTCCTTGGCACCTGCAAGGTAAAGACCAGACTTGTTCAGTTCCGTTTACGGCTTGATGAGGATCAGTGTGCGCAAAAGATTGCGAAGGAAGGGTCGCTCACCTGCTTCAGCCAGCAGAGGGACCAACTTGCCCTGCATGTGCAATGACACCGTTGCTGCACACAAGGACAAGTGGTGTGACGGGACAACGAAAATGGTGAATAAAAACAGCTGTAACTGTGAGAGGCCAGAGGAGCTTGACACACTTCACAAGTAATACCATGGACTCACCATCACAGCCGCCAATGTGCTTTCCACCAATGAAGACGTTGGGAATGGTGCGCTGGCCTGTGAGATCATACAGAGCTTGTTGAAGCTCGTCCTCCTCCACTGCACCCAACGAGAGCATGTTCAGTGTCTTCGCATCATAAACCAAGCGACAAAGAAGAGCAGACGCAGCTCATTCGACCAACAGCGACACTTGCTCAACAGTGACACTGTTCCACACTCTTCCTTGTCTCAACTCACCTAGTTCGTCCAGCTCCACAACTAGCATGTTAGTGTGAAGCTTGGAAAGGAGCCGTTTCACGTCCGTGCAGTATCTACAACAACAATCGAGACGCAAGGCATTGACACAAAATCTCTCGATGCAGGATGTTGTGAAGGTAGCACACGGAAGTCCAAAATATCTTCACAGCTAACTGAACAAAAACCACGTGGTTCTTTCCAGCGTTCCATGCGGTCATCGGTGCAAGCGCGTACGTTATTTATTCCAAACTCAATTGAGAAGAATAAGCAATAATTCTTCTCAATTGCGTATTAAAACTGGCTCAGATTCCGTTTCAAGAACTCACGGGCACCATGTTTGGAGTAGACGACCACAGGGTGCTCTCCGTTCTTCTGCTTCACCAGCTCCACCAGTTGCTCGATCGACTTGGCGTCGCTGCGACCCATCGCTCGAGGCCCAGCAGCAGCTGAGAATCGCCTGCGAGCCTTGCTAGCGGTAGGGTCTGACAAGGCATGGCTAATCTGAGAGCCGCTGAAGAAAGCCAATTGGCTGCTGTGAGCTGTGAGAAGCGCGGTGGACACGAGTCTGCCGGGTAGACGATGTCTTTTGAAGTGACCCGACTGCCGCACGTGAAGGCAACGATACGAAGATCGCTCCTGCTGCCACTGCTGCTGTTGCTACTGCGGCCATTGAGAGACCAGCTTGGTCGCACGAGAGGCGATCGCAAAATTGGAATAAACAATCCTCTCGCCTGTATGAACTGGACGATTAGCGATAATGCCTACGCTGCTGCAGAAGGACGCGACGTCAATGTAACTTCTGAAAATTGTGAGAATCGCCTGATATTGATCAACACATTCGATTCCACTGGGGAGGGTTGTGTGACTGACCTCATGGAGCACATAACAACAGATTTGTGCGACATCCTCATCCACACACTCAACTGGATAGCTGGTGACACACCCAATGCCCCTGTCAGGTCACAGGAGCATGGAACGTTGGACAGCTGGCTTGCTTTTCCCACGAAAGACGTGGATTGGGTGAACTGTGCGATGGATTCACGAATCGTCGCTGTAAATTCGCGAAAAAAGCGGGGATGGGCCAGAAAATGTTCGGGAGAGATCGTATTCTCTATACTAGCCTTCTCTTACGGATTACAGGGCGCTACACTTCATACCAAGAGTTCGTGAAGAAAACACTTGTCACAATGAAAAATATAAGCCCTTGGCTTAAACACCTTCGGAGTCACGTAGACCAGCTTCGTGGCGCCCCTCCAAAACTCCAACCAATGGGTAGACTCCGCTCAGCCGTCACGTGGTGACGAAAGTCGTCTGGAAACCCCGACGTGCCACGTCATCCCGAATCATGGTACACGCTCTACTAGCGTGCGTGATTGGCCTGAAATGCTAGCTGGTTACCCACAATTGTGGCTCCTTTCGTCAACCCAAAGGCGTGAGTGGCAGCTGGAGCAGCCCCGCTAAAACCCCTCCCTCCACAGATTCGGGGATCAATGCAGCACGGATTTTACAGCACTGTATTTGTACCGAGTGGTACCTTCCCATTTTCAATCAGGCAAACCATTCATCTGTGTGGAATCCCTTCAGCAGACCCACATTTTGTGGCCTTCGGATTCATTCTTCCCTGAATCCCTGCTGATTTTGGTTCTCCACCTTGGTAGGCTGCTACGGCTTGAAGCTCCTCCAACTATTATTTCCTCCTTTCAGTCGATCCAGCCATGGCTTCAATGACGCTCCGGTTCTCGGTCCAGAGCAGCGAGTTGCTAGGCAAGAGCCTGATGAAGGCTTCCAGCCTGAAGCCTAAGGTATTGCGTGGTCACCTCATGATTCCGTTCCGTTTCCACTTATCTGATGTCATTTTCTTACTCCGTCCGTCTGTGTTATTTGTTTCTGCCTGCTGTTTACTATTACAGAGCACAGCCAAGTGCAGCTCTCGCTCTCAAAGCTGCCCCCGTCTCGTCGCAAAGGCCATGGCTTCTGGTGAGCGATTTGCCACAAACAGCTCTCCTCTTGCCCTTCCCACAGCAGCATTTTATATCGTTTTCTTCCATGTAAATATTGTTATGAGACTTGTTTGCCGGTAAAAAATGAAGATGG